GACAGTTTGCTTCGACTACAAAGCATTGGATAGAGTCGTCCTAGAATAAACGCGGCGCGGTCGCGTACCGTTTTTATATGGGGACGGAATGTCATCCCTCTGTCGAGGGTGACGCCTAGATATTTGACCTTCGAGACCCACGGTATGGGCTGGCCAAAGAGAGTGATGGGACTAACGGCGGAGGTGTTTGCGCGCCTACTACGGAGTGGAATGCTCGAAGTGATATTCGGAGGGCGACCCCTTTTGAGAGCCACCGCTTAGCGCTTATTCGCGGGGTTGATGTCTATATCGCCCATTCGGAACCACTGTCCCCATGGTGGCTTACTGCGATCTGGAGTCCCCGCTGCGATGAGAGCGACATCTTCTACACGAGTAGATAGATAAGCCGTAGTCATCGGCGAGAGTCGCTAGAATGGGTCATCACGGAGAAACCGGGGTATATCATACTGAGTATACAAATAATAATAACGGTAGAGAGCGGCGGAGCCTTGCGGGACTCCGGCAGTACAGTTGGAGGGGACGAGAACGAGTTCCGCCTGCTACTCCGATTATCGAACGAACGGTTCGAAAGAAGTTCGCATCGTAATGATTGAGCACGAGTCTGTATGGCAGATACCATGTTGTACAGTTTGTTAATTAATTTAAACCGTTGTGCCAGACTTTGTCCGCAGCCCTTCGCCAGATGTCGATAAGAAGAGGGCGCCGGTCGGGATGCGGGATTTGTTTACGCCTATTTAGTCCTATCAGGATGTGCTCCGTGAGGCGGTGCACTTGTTGTACGCACGAGTGTTTAGAGCGGAATCCGAACTGTTCGTCTATGAGAATTTTGTTCGAGGTAACAAAATCCCAGAGGCGTTTCCTAAGGAGCCGTTCGTAAAGATTTTTCCTATCGTCTGGGAGGAGACTAATCAGGAACGGTATAGAAGTTTCGTTTGTCGGTTTGCCCGGCATTATGTACCTACCGATAACGTACGCACTTTCTTTCCACACCAGCGGGAAAAGATGGCTAGTGCGTCATAGCGGCCATTATAAAATTGGGTAGCCACATTGGCTATCAGCATTGAGATTCGGGCAGGAATTTTATCGCGGCGGTTGGTGGATGCCGTCGGAGCGGGTGGCACTTCATAGTGGTTGGAGGTTGTGGATCGCGTCCTATAACTTCGGGTCAGTGGTAATGGGGGGTAACGCGTCCCGAGGCGGGCAGGGAATGCTTTCCCCCTCTTATTTTTTATTTTTTTTATATTTTTCTATTTTTTTTTTCTTGGCCCACCCCCCGGGGGCCCCCTTTTTTCCGACCCCCCACCCCCCTCTGTCTTTTTCCCCCTTTGGTTTTCCCCCGACCCCCCCCCCTTAACCATTCCCGGGGGATTTTTATGGAGAGGTCTGGTTGTTTGCTTCGGGGGGGGGGTTCCCGCCCCGCTGGGAGGGGGGGTTTTTTGAAGAGTGCCCCCCACCTTGGGTGGGGGTTTTGGGGCAAAAAACTTTAGCCCCCCTTTTTTTTTTCCCTATGGCCAAAAAAAAAAAAAAAAAAGTGCCCAAAAAATTTTCGGGGCCCCCCAAAAGCCACCCCCAGCCCCCCCCCTTTCCCCCAAGGCCCCCCCCCCACCTTTTTTTGGGGTTTTCCCCACCCCATCGGTTCCCCCCCAAATCCGGAAATGCCCCCCCCCCCCCCCCACCCCGGGGGGGGGGGGTTGGGATTGGGCCCCCCTGAAAAAAAAAGGGGGGGGGGCCCCCCGGGGTAACGGGGGGAGGGGGGGGGGGGGGGGGGGAGGCCCCCCCCCAAAAAAATAAGTAAAGGGGGCCCCCTGCACCGGGGGGTAACAAAAAGGGTTTTCTTTTTTTTTTTCTTTCTTTTTTTTTTTTGCCCCCCCGGGGATTATTTTTTGGGAGGGAAGTCCCCCCCCCCCTAAAGCCCTTAGTCCCGCAAGTAAAAAAAATGGGCCCTTTTTTTTTGTGTTTTTTTTTTTGGGGGTGGGGGGGGGAAAAAAAAAAAAGGGGGCCGGGGCCCCGGGGGGCGGAGGTTTTTTTTTTTTTTTTTGTTTTTCCCCTAAAAAAATTAAACCCCCTTTTTAAAAAAAAAAAATTTGGCCCCCCCAATTTGTTTTTTAAAATATCCGGGGGGGTTTAAAAACGGGGCCGCCCGGGCCCGGGGTTATTTTCCCCCCCGGGCCCTTTTTCTTTTTAAATGCCGGGGGGGTGGGGGCGGGGGGGGGGGAAAAAAAAAAGGTTTGGGGGAAAAAACTTTTTTCCCACCCCCCCGCCGGTTCCCTTCGGGGGTTAAAAAAAGGGAACCCCCCCCCCCCCGGGGAAACGCCCATCCCCACCGAATCCCCCCCCCCCCCCGCCCCCGGGGGGGGGTTTTTTTTTTTTTTTTTGAAAAAAAAAAAAAAAAAAAATTGCCGTTTTTTTTTTGGGGGGGAAAAAAAGAACCCGGGGGGGGATTTTCATTTTCCCCCCCCCCCGGGGTTAAAAAGGGGCCCCCCCACCCCGGGGATTTTTTTTTTTTGGCCCCCGGAGGGGGAGGCCCCCCCGGGTTTTTTTGTTTTTTTTTTTTCCCTTTAAACCCTTTCCTTTTTTTTTTAAAAAAAAAGAAAAGGATTTTCCCATAAGAAATCCCGGGGGGGGGGGGGGGGGGGGGGGGGGGGAACAGGTTTCCCCCCATGGAAAAATTCTTTTTTTTTGCGGGGGGGGTGGGGGAAACAAAAGCTTTTTTTTTTGGGTCCCCCCCCCCCCCCTCCCGCCCCCCCAACATCCCGGGGGAACCCCCCACCCCCCTTTTTCCTTTTTTTTTTTTTTTTTTTTTTTTTTTTTTTTTTTTTTTTTTTTCCCCCGAAAAAAGGAAAATAATTTTTTCCCTAAAAAATTGGGAAAATTTTCCCCGGGGGGCGGGGGGGAAAAGGCAGGAAAAAAATTTGTGGGGGGAAAAAAAATCCCCCCGGGGTTTTAATTTTGGGGAAATGGGGGGGGGTTTCTTTTTTTTTTTTTAATGGGAATATTTTTTTTTTTCCCCGACGGGGTGGGGGGGGGGTTTTTTTATTTTCCCCCCCCCCTCGGGGGGGGGGAGGGGGGGAAAAAATGGAATTTTTTTTTTTTTTCCGGGGAAAAAAAAAAAAAAAAAAAAAATTTCCCCCCGGGCCCCCCCCCCGGGCCAAAAAAAAGGGGGGGGAAAAGGGGGGAATCGGGGGCAGGGGGGAGCGCCCCGGGGAGGGGCCCGTTTTTCGGGCTTTTTTTTTAGGGCAAAAAAAAAAAACCGGGGTGGGCCCCCCCCAAAGCCCCTTATTTTTTTATTATCACCCAAAATTTCCCACCCCAAAAAAAAAAAATTGGGGGGGTTCCCCCCCCCCTATCCCGGTTAAACAGGGTGGGGGAAAAAACTTTTTTTTTTTGGGGGGGGTTTTTTTGGGGGGTTATGGAGGGGGGGGGGGAGGGGCCCGAAAAAAAAAACACCGAGCTGCATAACGACAGGTCGGTGGTCTGAGTCGAGCTCTGACATTGCTTCGATGGAACGCAAGCGCAGAGTTACGTTCCTAAGCAATGCCAGGTCTATAGTGCTCGGACGGAGCGCGATGTTATACGGATAACATGTTGGAGTTGGGGGACCGACTATTTCGAAGGTGAGGTCGTCTATAAACGCGTCGAGACGCCTACCGTTCACGTTTGTACGATGGCAATTCCACCTAGTGTGGGAGGGTTTTTTTTGGGCAAAAAAATTTTTCTTTTTTATTATAAAAAATCCGCCCCCCCCCCCCCCCCCCCTTTGGCCCCCGGGGGGGAAAAAAAAAAATTTTGGACCGGGGGGGGGGGAAGGGCTTTCCCCTCCCCCCCCAATAAAAAAATGGTTCCGGGGGAAAAGTGGGGGGGGGGGAAACCCCTCCGGGGGGGGGAAATGGGGATTTCCCAACTTTTTGGCTTTTTTTTTCCAAAGGGGGGGGGAAGGGGGCTTGGGGTCCCCCCCCCCGGGGGGGGCGAGAAATTAAACGGAACATTGCGGAAAAAAAAATGAAAAACGAATTTTCGGCCTTTTTATTTTTTGGTTTGGGGGTCCCCCGTCAAAGCGGGGGGGAAGAAAAAATTAATCGGGGCAAAAGCAAACTGAACAGCCTTCGGGGGATTTTATGTTTGTAAAAGGAAGGGGGGGCGCCGGGGGAGGGGGAAAAAAAAAAAGTTTTAAAAAAAAAAAAAAAAATCCGAAAAAGGGAAAAAGGGGGAAAACAAAACGTTTGGGGGGCAAAAGGGCCCCGTCCCCCCTTTATATAAAAAAATGGGGGCCAAAAAAAAGTTTTTTTTTTTTTTGTCCCCCCGGCCTTTTTTTTTTATTTTTTTTTTGGAGGGCGGGTTGGAAAAAGTTTTCCCCCCCTTTTTTTTTTGTTCCCAATTCCCCTAACCCATTGAAACAGTGGTTAAAAAAAAGTTTTCGGGCGACTTTTTTTTCTTTTCCGGGGGTTTCGCGGAAACGCGCCGGAGGGGGCCGCTTTTTTTTTTTTTTTTCCCCAGAAACCCAAAAGGGTATCCCCCCCCTCCTTTTGCGCAAAAACTTTTAAAAAAATTTTTAAAAAAAGAAAAAAAAATTATCTTTTTAAAAATTCTTTAAACAGATTTTTTTTTTTTGGTCCCCCCGGCCCGGGAAAGGAAATTTTTCCCGAAAAAAAATTTTTTTTTTTTTTTGGATCGCGTTTTTTTTTTTTCTATTATTTTTTTTTTTTGCCCCCCGCGCCGACAAAAAGTCCCCGCGTTTTTAGCAAAAAAAAAAATTTATGTAAAAAAAACAAAAAGAAAATGCCCCCCTTAACCCCGTTAAAAAAAAAGGGGAAAAATTTACGGATTTTTTTTTCCCTTCTAATTTAAAACTGTTTTTTTTTTTTTTTTTTTTTTTTTTTTTTGGCGGCAAAAAAATTGGGTTTTTTTTTTTGTTTTTAACCAGGGTTTCAAAGGAATTTTTTTTTTTTTTTTTAAAGAAATTAAAAACGGTAAACGCCGGGGGAACAACGGGGGAAAAAAACCCTTTTTTTTCGGGTAAAAGACCGGGGGGTCCCCCCCATTTTTTTTTCGGTTTGGGGGAATTTTTCCCGGAGGGGGCCCCCGGAAGGGCCGGGAGCCGCTGTTCGGGGGTTACCGACCTACGTATCGCGTCTGCGAACGATCGCAGACGGTCGAAGTTCACCGCAGTGACGAAGTCACGCACGAGCGCGAAGTCGTTGACGGCAGAGGGTTGCGGGGGACGGAACGCGGGCGCGGGGCGAGGTGCGAGCAGGGGCTGGGGCGCGGGGCGTGTCACGAGCGGGGGTGCGGTTTCCGTTCCCGCCTTCGTATACGGCAGCGGCTTTTTCCACGCTGAGACCGTGGGAACTGCAGCCGGCACGAAGGCGGGTTTCGGCACTGAAGGTGCCGAAGTCTTTGGGCCGACGGTTCGCGGAGCCGGGTGGGTTGGACGTTTTCGTGGAGCCCTGGGACATCCACAGTAGTTCGCGGGGTGCCCTTGCTTAAGGCATAGGACACAGCTGGGAGGTTCGGTCGCGGTTTCCCTATCTCTAACGCAATCTAACGTAGCGTGATCGCCGAGGCATTTCACGCAGCGGGGGCGCGCGTGGCAATTACGCGCCGAATGGCCATAGAGTTGGCACCTGTAGCACTGCCCGGGAGTGCCACGCTTGTGAGGGGCTTCGATCGAGATCCCGGATAGGCCGCAAATTGTCGTGAGACATGCGATCTTCTTTTTGGCCTCCGGGGTGGGTTCTAGCGCCACGAGTATCATATTATAGGGCTGTTTGCCCCGCCCGCTGTGCATCCGGTGCACACTAACTA